ACTGAAAAGTGGTCACACAGTTATGTTTTACATGCAATACTTCGTTTAATTGACATGATCTAAAATATTACTAAATCCAACTAAATCCAAATAAAATCATTAAAAAATACACTTTTAGACCATATTCCATACGACAAAAAGCAACATAGGTTGCCTAATACACAGGTCATCCTCTTAAACATGACTTTAACACCATTGGTGATTTCACATCGATTATAACCCAAATTTTAAATCCCAACACCTATATTGCTGTTATTATCATCAAAAAAAATAATTTTTGAATCTTTTGGCTGTAGTAATACTAGGTATAACTAATATAGTTCTATGTTACATTGACATTTTGTTTTTGACACCTTTCATAGGTATATTGTAAATCAGTTTCCAGCTGTTCTCCGTGCGTAGAGGTTTTCTCCCCGGCTCTGGAACTCAATTTTTGCAATGTATGTTACCTGAAGTCATATTTAATTTATTACTGAACATCACAGTTTTTTAACAACAAGATGTATAATGTTTTATAACTATATGTAATTTAAAGGGTTTTTACCCATGTATTTTTGGTGGCTCAGGCATTTTAACCTAGTAAGTATAGCCATTTTTGCTTTTTAACCATAGTCAAAATTTTATAACCATGTTTGTTTTAACTAAATGGTTTATACTTATTTTAGGCGATTTTAAACCTGATGATGGACTGTTTAGTCCGAAAACGTTTGTTTTTTTGATGTAGCCCTTTTAAGGGTTTTTAAATAAATATACCCACTTACGAAGACTAACCTCTTTTTTTGTGATACGTGGTATACAGCCAGCTACAGGAATTGTTTTCCTTGTGGATTTTAGAATCATATTCATATTCTCTCTCCGGCTTCTATACAACATGTAGCTTCTCCTTTTTAAAAAGTGTTTGTTTGTCTTTGTGTATTGTATTTTGTATTGTTATGTCCAAATTTACATTTATGACATTCTACTCATGTCGGATAGGCCACAACTGATGAAATGCCCCTGAAGATGATCTATTGATCGAAAGTACTTGGGCAAGATTAAAAATAGTTGTCTTGTATACCGTCAAAGTTTAATTATTCAAACATTCAACCTTATATTGATTGATAGCTATTAAGCTTCAAAGTTAACCTGTTAGTTATTGCTCTCATAAAAAGTTTGTACATTTGAGACAGCAGCGAGATTGGCCTATAGTTCTTCAGATCTCCCCTGTTTCCCTTGTTAAAGTGAAGTATTGTCAAACTTTCATTCCAATCATCTGAGACTTCTTCTCTGTGAAGACATTCGTTGAAAAAACTTTTCAATTCTTCGAAAATAATTTCACTCTCCTCCTTCAACAAGTACTTCATCTGGGCCCGGAGCTTTATTGTTCTTTTGTTGTGCCATAGCGTGTTTTATTTCGAAGGATTCTATGTTAGGGAGCATTTCTGAGTTGATAGTCGTTATCTTCCCCTTAAGATCTTTTTTTGCAGTGTTATCTGGGTTCTTGTATGAGAAACATAAATCACGAAAAAAATGTTTGGGTAACTTTTAGCATTTCGTTATTTTCTCTTATTTCGTTTCCAGCTTTATTCTTCAATGAGATTATTATAGGCTTTCCTAAATTTGATCTTAAGAATTTCAGGCCTCCGTTCTTTCCTATTATTATTTCTACCTTGTTTTCATTACAGATTCTTAAATCTTCATTTACTTCCTTCTTTATTTGTTTATTCAATTCGTTGAAACCGTGACGGTCATAGCTTGTGTAAAGGAGGGACGCTGAACTGAGTAGAGGTCCTTCACTACTTTGTGCAAGACAGACTGGGCGGGGAAGTCCTCAACCCCGACAGAGCGCGTTCCAATGGGTGATAAGGAACGTTCCTGTAGATATGTAGGACAGGTGTGAATAAGAGTTTGCCAAATAAGTACCCACAGATCAACAGAGGACATGACACAGGTCAGCAGCTGTGTCATTAGTGGCCCGTTTCTAAGGAATACAATTCCTGATAGGTGCGGTACCACAAAGTCGCAGGCAAAAATCAAATACTGATTTAACCGGCTGTGATAATGCGAACACTCACCAACCCGTCCAGCAAGCGTGGTGTTTTAATGCCAATATACTGCTAAAAACACTATATCTTGAACTTGAAACAAAACGGGACGATAACCCAAGTGGGTAGAGCTAGCAGCTCAGAATCCCACATCGGAAAACCAGTCAGCCTCACGGAGTATGGGAAAGGCACAAGCTAAACAAAATGCGCCAAAGTAGATACGAAGAAACATAAACAGTTACCACTAGCCACATACAAAATCCAATCTATGGCTAAAGATGAAAAGGTCCACAAATTAAAAGAAGAACTATCCAAGATAAAGTGGGATATTGTAGAAATGTCAGAAGTAAAGAAAAAAGGCAAACAATGCATGCATCTAAACTCTGGAAATCGCTTGTTCTATACAGGAAAAATAGACGAAACATATGGCGGAGTCGGATTTCTTGTCAAAAAGTATCTCATGTTATACATTTATACATATAAAAGCGTTTCTGATAGTGTAGCTTATATTATAATAAACCTAGATAATAAAACCAAGATCAAGGTTATACAAGTGTATGCTCTCATAACAACACATCAGAAAGAGGTATTCGAAATGTTCTACGAAGATTGGATAACAGCATTAGAAGAAAACGATACAAAGTGTACCATCATTATGGGAGATTTCAACGCAAAGTTGGGTAAAAAAGAAAATACTAAAACCAAAATAGGGATCTATGGTTATGGTACATAAAATGAAAGAGGAGAAAAGTTATATAACTTCTTGGGAACAACAAAATTTATATGCCATGAACACATACTTCGAGAAATCAGCAAACCGAAAATGAACGTGGAAATCTCCCGATAAAAATAAGAAAAACGAGATCGATTATTTCTTGTGTGGGAACCAAGACGATTCACATCTGGCACCGATTATCGTCTTTTAAGAGCAAGGATTATTATTAAACAGACGAAAATTAGTAGAAATAGGTCACATAATTATTGTATTCAGATAAATGAAACCAAAATACAACAGATGCAAGATGTGTACAAAGAAGTCTTATGAAAAGAATTTGTAAAACATTATCAACAAGAATATTCCGACATAAACACTAATAATAAAGAATTGCAACGAAAGCTCTTAAAAGCAGGACTGACTTGCAAAGAAAACGAAAAATAAAGGAGATCGAATAAGTGAAGGAACATAACAGTTGATCTAAAAGAGACGCACATATCTAAGCGAAGGAAAGGAAAGAAGGAATACTTTTAAATAATCTAAACATACATATACGGTTTAAATGTTGTTAACAGGAGTAATTGTTCGCCCATTTTAATCTTAATTCGGTACATATTCCTGTTAATGGTCATTTCATACTGAATTAATAATAAAATTCCTTTTAGTAACAAGAATAAACTCGTGGCTGGCAGGCCACCCTTAGGGCCGAGTCTACAATTATAGTATATACCTAGTATAAGCTATACGCAGTATAATAACAAAAAATTGTGTTCTACAAGTTTAGAATAAGTTTGTCCTCAGTATAAACTAACAGATAACTTATCCATGCCAGCTCGGGCGAATATACTAGAGATAAAGTTATTCTCGCCTTCTATTGGTCGGCAGTGTATGTCATATTCCTTATTCCTTGACAGATTGATAAGCGAATAGGGTTATAGGTGATATTAGTATTTTATTATTTGTTGCTTTTAATTAATTTTTAATTTTAAATATTTTCAAAATGAATCCAGCAGATTTAAATGTTTTTGATTCCGATGAGGACGAAAGGGAAGCAGTAGTATATCGACAACCGAAATTGTTCAAAGTTCGGTAAGTTTCAAAGTAAGAAATGAGAGTTAAAAATATTTGAATTAAAACAAATTAATTTTTAGGCCAAATTACTTTGTGGAATTTGACGAATTAGAATTTTTCAAACGCTTCCGGCTACAGAAGAAAACATGTGCCACACTACTAAATTTGATTGAAAACAACATTAAATCAATAACAGATCGCAATCAAGCTATAAGACCAGAAACAAAATTGCTTCTTACCTTACGTTTTTATGCTACAGGTAACTTTTTACTAACATGTGGAGACTTTGCTGGAGTAAGCAAAACCTCTGCATGTGTTATTGTTACCCAGGTCACTGAGGCTATTGCATCTTTACGAAAAAGATTCATAAAATTTCCAGTAACAGACATGGAATGTTTAGAAGTAAAAGAAGGTTTTTATGCCATTGCCAGATTCCCTCATGTTATTGGTACTATTGACTGCACCCATGTTCGTATTATGTCTCCAGGTGGAAATGAAGCAGAAAGATATAGAAATCGGAAGGGATATTTCTCATGGAACGTACAAACAATTTGTAATGCAAATTTAAAGATAATGGATGTTGTTGCACGGTGGCCTGGTTCATCCCATGATCAGGTAATTTATAATAACAGTAGAATAAGAGGAAGGTTGGAGAATGGAGAATTTGGAACGAGTGTTATTTTAGGGGACAGTGGGTATGCTAATAATAATGTTTTAATCACTCCCTTAGAGCAACCTATTACTCCTGCTGAAACACTTTTCAATGAGTCACATATACGAACAAGAAATTGTGTGGAAAGATCGTATGGGGTGTGGAAACGTAGGTTTCCTATTCTCTCAATGGGTATGCGAGTGTCATTGGAACATTCACAGGCGATAATAGTCGCAACTGCCATTCTACACAATATTGCCATAGAAGAACATGAAGAAGAGCCACCAAATGAATTTCATTTTGAAGAAGTGGAACTACATTTACCACTTGATAGAAACCAAGGCATTGTTCGGGAACAGAACAGAATGAGGGCTTCTCTTATTTTAAATCATTTTGCTAATTTATAACCCAAAATAAAATATAACACATATTGAAAATAGTTTTAATTTAATTTATTTAAAAAAAAATGAAGTAAAAAACAAAGCTTTATACCTAAAAATTTTAAGAAAAATGAAATGAAGTAGAAAACAAAAAGAATTCAAATCTTCTTTTTGTTTTCTAGTTCTTGATTCAATATCTTGATTTCTAAGGCATGCTTTTCAGAAAGACGTTTTTCTTTCATTTCAGCTTCTTCTTTTAACAAATTTATTTGGAAATCTATATATTCAATCTTTTTTTTTGCTAGTTCTTCATATAAATCACAGCTCTGTTGTTTCTTTATTTTCGAAGGAATTGATTCCTTCTTATAGAACCTTTTTCTCTTTCCAGTATTAGCAAAACCTAAAAAATTACATGTTTAATATTACTGATTTTGAAATATAGAAAAAAATTACCTCTTGGTGTATCAGCAGAGTTGACAGGTTCTTTTTCTTCAGGAACTATGTTTTCCTTACTACACTCTGCATCTATAAAACAGATAAAAATATTCTATTATAGAAATAAAACAGATAAAAATATGATCATTACATGCTTTAACAAAATCGCTTACCAACAACATTTAAAACTTTTAATGGTTGGCTCATGGCCTGCCTAATCTGTTGTGGGGTCCAAGATTTCCAACTACAGCTTGCCTGTAAATACAATAGTTTACATTACAAACAAACCAGAAGTAGTGATAATAAATACCTACCAGTTCTATTGGATTTACATTTGAGTCATCAATCTCACAGTCATCAAATTCTTTATCAATTTGAATATTAATAATTTCCAATGTTTCCTCAGGAATAACATTTTCCTCTTCAACAGTAATTTCTGTATCTATAAAAAAATATGTTCATATAGTTCTACATTTAATAATTGTATCTACAAAATAGAAAATAATGTAACATATTTTGCATACCAAAATCAGAATCAAATTGTGATATTGTTCCAGTTGCCCCAATGCCAATTATAGCTAATATGCGATTACTAGCATTGTTAAGGACTAAATCTCTTTTTGGTCCACCACCTGTTTTGTATAATTTCTGTTTATAGTCTGCATATTCCTTTTTTATCGATTTCTTTAAGGAGTCCCATTTGCTTCTTAGCATTTTGGCAGTTCTACCTGTCCCACAAATAGAATTAAATTGTATTTCTATTTTCCTCCACTCTGCTTCTTTCCCGTTGTTTGTTATCGTATCCGTTTTCTTGCATTCTAGAATGTAACAATAAATAAATTTGAAGATTCAAAAACAGAATTTTATAATTTACTTACCTACAATTTCTTTAAATTTCTCGACTAAACTGACCAACACATCAATTTCATTTGCGGTAAAGTTATTGCAACGCTTTTTTTCCATTTTAATTTAGATTTGTAATATAAGAATGAGAACAAAACGATATTAAAATAAAGCCAAGCCAAACAACTATAACAGTAAATTATATTTTAGGTAGATATTATGCCCCCGTCAATTGTCATTCATTAGAACTACAAGGCTATTTACTCTCGATATGTATACTGTCGTCACTCAAACATTGTAGAACGCGCAATCAGTTATACTTCGAATAAACTCGAAGTATAAGTTAAACCAAGAATAACTATACTGTATTTTATACCTACATTGTAGAACCGGCCTTTAGGAAGGTCCCACGGCGAGAAAATGGCAACGCACGACGATGCCATTTTGCGTATTTTCTTATGACATCTTAATACCATTTACTATTTTTATTGGGAATAAGTCACAATTTAACTTTAAGATAAGTTTATTTTGACGTTTCGATTTCTTTTTTAAAAATTGTTCTTAAAATAGAATCTGCTAAGAAATTTTTTCTCTTAAAGTTTTATTTTTTACCTTTATTAAAAAAATTATTATGTAGTAGAAAAACACAATTTTGCACAATTTCAATTTGTTTTGGGCTAATAAAAGCCACTTTCAACACTACAATCACAGAAAACTGGGTTAAACTGGTTAAAAGAGCATAAATAATATTGACATAACTATTCACGATAAGATGCAATACAGTGGAGCAATTAGTCTGTGTTAGAGATAGTAAAGTCGTCGCGTTATTCGCAGGAAAAATAAAGCTGTTCGTCCCGATTGTCTCAAGAGATAAGTCAAATTTTGTGCATCTGTCATGACCCGGAGTCGCACCGCGTAGTTTAAAATACCTCAAAATGACTTTAAATTGGATTATTGACCATAGCATAGCACTTCTGGAAAAGTTTTCCAACAGTCCAGACTTGCTCTCGGTAGACATTTTCTGGAGCGAAATAAAAAACTTGTCATGTTCATACACAAATTGAAGCAAACAAAACCAAGAAAGATGAAATTCACTGACACCAAAATTTTGCAGAACTTGGTCATAACTAGTCTTCGAAGAATATTGGGATGTAGTTTAAAAAAGGAATGTCACTTAGTGGTAAACTTTCATATTTTTTCGTTAATATTACATATTCTATGCGTTTTTTTTTATTTTTTGCTATTTTTGTTAATTATTCGTTTTCATTAACTTGAAAAATAATATCTATAATTATGATAATCCAGAAATTTTGTTGGATTATTTAAAACTTTTAAAGTTTAGGCTGGACTTTTGTTCTGGGCATCTACAATTTAATTTTATTATTACACCTATGTTTGGCCCAACTAACATAGGAAGGGGCTCCTATATTGTAACAACGATATCGACTAATAGGGGTTTGATGTAGTGTCATATTAATGGTTAGACAATTGGCTAAAATTATTTTAGAATATTTGTAATAAAACACTCTTTATTTCGGTAAGGAGGAACATTTTATGTAAGTGTTTGAGATTAAATCTTCGTATTTTCTGCTAAGGTTTCTACAGTTACTATATGGATAATTTTTAATGAAACACCCGATAGATATATACATATTATTATAAGTTATGTTCCATTAAAATTATCTAAATATTACTAATTTATCTTGAATATGTTTTCGTCCAACCCTGTCCTTAAGATGATCAAGATGAGAATGAATATTGTTTAGGGGCCGATTACGGATGATTTAGCTACGTCTTTGTGGCATAACAATAAAACAAAAGGCCTCAATGCACATCTATCCAAATGTTCGTTTCAATTATAAACGTGAATGATTAATCGAGTTAGGTGATTATGTTCCTAGCGTTCGTGATATAGAAATATTTTATTGAATAGAAGCGAAACAAAAAAAATCATTATGGCTTCGTTGAATAAAACAAGAGAAACTATTTTTTCGTTACGGGGCAAATAAAAGCAAACAATTTTTTGGTAATTATTGTAAACACTAATATAAATCATTTGGATTGTTTAACAACATTAATCAAACCTAACCCTTTGTGTTTTCCAGTTTTTGAATTTTTAGCATTATATTCTCGGTTTACCTAATTACGTTATTACACCTTTTGTTTGTTACTGTATGGTTATAACAAAACCACTGCAAATTGTAATAAAGTCGTTATAATATGTGGTAATGCGTAAGCGCATATATAAAACTTTTTTAACAAATTAAAACTTAAATCAAGTCATCATCATCGTCATTAACATCTTGACAGGTGTGTTGTGGTTTATTATTGAGCTTCAGCAGCTTGAATAGTCTGATCAATGATACCTCTCCAGTTATCCCGGTCATCTGTTACATGTACCTCAGTACACTGCTTGTTAAAAAGCTGTTTCGTGACGTCTGCCATCGCTGTTGGGCACATAAAGTATGGACTTTTAATTATAAGACAAAAAACTGAAGGTCAGACTGTAAATAAAAACTTTTGTCAACATCTAATGTACCTTTTATGCTTTGGTATAGTCAGAGTTTCAGTATTCTCAGCATTTAGTGGAAAGATTCGAACTTAGTGTTGATGTTCGAATCGGTTTGTAAATGCCCCTTTGTCCACTTCTTGTCGAGCGACGACGATAAATATAATTAAAGGTTGAAGTTGTGGAGTAAAAGTGTTGATTTATTGACAGCTACTGGTAGTTACAGAATACGATGTTCGTTAGGTAACTACTTATGATAAACTGTACTCAAATGAGCTCAAATCCCCAATTTATAATCTCACAAATAATTCATACCTCAGCACAGAGGTTATTGCTTTCTATCATACCATACTTTATACTATTTGCTTACATTAAAATTTAATCTAGGACTTCATTGCGACACCTAGGAAGATCAATTAGAAAATTATTCGGCAATATATTGAGTTGTAGGTAAATGAACTAATTATTAAAATATTATATGATATGGTTGTACAATTTCTCACTTATACACGGTGAAACTATAAAAGATTAAGAAGTTAGGAATAATGTGAGATTACAAATTAAGGGGTAAATTTGTGATTGAACATATTAACCACTATATAAAAAACAAACAGACTACCAATAGAAAATATTTAAACAAATATAGAATATAAAATAATAATATAACAATAATCATAACACTAACTCACTCGGTTTTTGAATTATTATCTCACCCGAGCAGTGCTACCTATTACTTGCTTATTTAGAATCTATGTTTCAGCTAAACTATCTAATTCAAATCCAAGCTCATTAAGTGAAACTGATCTAGGAGGGGCTTTCTTTAAAGTACTACTTAAATTTGGTTGTGATAAAATATGTCTTCGTTTCTTGGCTCTCTTGGAGTTTCGAAAATATCTGACTATTCTCCTTTATTTTCATATGTCACTTAAAAAAATTAGTGTATAAATTATTGTAATCTACTGCAAGTAGATTCCTTGGTACCAATAACGAGCGCACAACACCAACTCTTCTTTTTCTAGGTTTGTCTCTTTGAAATTTCTTTTCTAATTGCAGAATCCTCACATATGCTTGCTGTAGTAAGTCCCCCTAATAGGCTTGTACTAGAATTGAAGGGTATTTTAACTTCAAATTTTCCTTCGTTATCCCTTTTTACTGTTCTTTTATAATATCCTTTACACTTTTTTCTTCTACTGAAAGAATATTGCTGTGATCTATTTCTTCTAACTTTCAATATTGTTTTCTATTTTCATCTATCTGTGGTCTAGATAGCATTGTACTTGCATATTAGGGATATATTCTTGCTATGCTATCCCTGACATTATTCAACCCAATTTTGTATTTTGGGTGAGCAAACCATTCTTTGTTCGATCTACTCCGTCCAGTAATATCAAACTATATTCTTTGGATCCTAAAAGAATATCTATTGAACCTGTTTCATTAAATTTTAAATCCGCCAGGATTAAGTTCCTATGGTTCCTTTCTTTCATTTGTACCTCTTTCTAAGGTAGATTTTTTGTTATTTTTCTTAGTCCAATTAATTCGGCCTTAATTTCAAATTCTTGAAATGCACCTCTAAGTTTAATGTTGCGCTCCATTTCGACGTCCTTTGGTCTTCACTGCTAATTTCAGATATCTGAGCGTGGACAGCTTTTCTTTTTATTCCGAGACTTGTAGCGGCCTGCTCCGTAATGAATGATGACTGCGAGCCTTGGTCAATCAATGCTCTCATTAATTGTGAGATTCCTTTTGAGTCTCTTACTCGTACTAATGCCGTTGCAAGTAGCACTTCTTCATTCTGAAGACTTAAACAGCTCACGGTATTCTCTTGTCTCCTTGATGATCCGTTGTAACTGTTGTCACCTCTGGTCCCACTAGAATTGGATCTATTTTGTGGCCTTCTGTTTTCAGAAGTTCTTCTGTTGTCAAACTGACCTGACCCACTAGAATTTGATCTATTTTGTGGCCTCATGTTTTCAGAATTCCTTCTGTTATTATCCTGACGTTCTGACATGTGTAGTAATGGATGGTGCTATCTATCACATTCTGCACATCGATGAGAGGAATTACATGGTACTTCCCTTTTGTGTAGTGGGCATCTACCGCACCATTGCTTTTCCTTTACGATTTTGTTTCTTTCACGTACTTGTTGACGTAAAAACCTTGTACATTTCAACATTTTATGTTCTTCATGACACATCACACAGGTTATCTTCTTTTTGACATTTTGTCTGTAATCTATTTCTTTCGTTTTTGTTTCCAATGTCTCCAATGAATCTTTTTTGTAGGAATTCCTGTGTTGACTTATATGTCGGAATGTCCCTACTGTCTTGAATTGACGTTTCATATAATCTCCTTGTTTTTGTGTCCCACATTAACATACTTATCCTTGCTATAAGAGGATTCCAGGATTCTCTGTCATTATACCTTTTCATGGAGAGTATCATGTAATGTTTTCAGCGCCATTTCTAACGTTTCTTTTATCTCCGCAGCCTAAGGTATCTTGTCTATTAATATAAATAGATTCATCCTTGGATTATCGTACCGATCTTGCAACATTTTCCAAGCAGCACTGTAGTTTGCTTCTGATGTGTTTAAATGTTGTATTATTCTA